GATTGGTATCATGTTGTGATGTCATGGTGTCACCTTTCATAAGGCGACACCCCAACGACCCGACATCACAACATTTTAACCAACAACACGACATTTTCACCTGAACCCACGACATTAAAATGTTGTAATGTCGGGTTAAAATGTTGTGATGTCGTGTTGCAGGGTTGTGTGACAGGTTATCGGCCATATTCCTCTTAATATACAGTTTGATTATGTACACTGATCATAGTGTTGGTCAAGAAAGTTACCCGGGATTTTGCAGAGTGCTTTCTCCCTGTTGGACGAAGGGCCTGGCAATGAACATAGTGTCTAGTTGTGTAGAAGGGACAAAAAAAAAAAAACAAGTTTAAAAGCAGACAGATACAATGTACTCTATTCCTTATTCAGTTTTTACTCAAAGCAAATTCGACCTCCCCAGCATATTATATTCAAATGAAACGATCATTCATATATTTTGATTCAAGAAATTTTTTTATAAAGGACTTAACACAGGTGAACCTTTAAGCATAATAACGACACAAAAAGCTGCTTAAAAAATAGTTCAAGGCAATTTCAACAAATACTAAAATATTCTTAACAATTTCCAATCGATTTTCTTAAAACATGATATCTGAAATGTAAATTAAAATACCATACTGGTATTATATTAATATTGAACAAAGATTTTACACACCATAATACAAACAGAACATTGTTGAATCAATATTTACTTAGTTTCTTCTCGTAAATCCTATAGATTCCAATTCATTTTAAAATATGACGGAAAATAAAGACAGGATTTGTTACATGCGGAAGCCACCACTTGTTATAACTGAAAGCCAAAGGATTTATACCAGCATTGGGACTAGATAAGCTCACCATTTCTTTTAACCTCAGAATGATCAATATGGAAGGATAATAATTCTTTTTTTGTATTATCTTTAACTTTTATAGTTTAGACATACATACACATAGCAATTATTTAAGGAGATCCAATTTTTTTTTTTTTGTTGATATTGTACTACATTGGCAACTGATATATTTTCTTTGATGTTGGTGTTCTGAACATGTCAACTAATTGGCCAATCCATCTTATTGGCTCAGTGAGTGAATCGCTGACTTGCTAACATGGAGGTCCCATGTTCGATCTCGGTGATAGCCGCAAAACGTTCCTCATGATTTTCCGGTGTGTTTCCCCTAGTCAGGATGCAAGACAGCATCTAGAGTCCTTCGAATGGGAATAAGAACTGAGGTCCTGTGTACACGTTGGCATGCACGTTAAAGAACCCTTGACTGTTGGAATTCAATTGCTGTCCGGGCAAAGTTCCCTTATAGCATACTATATAGCATATGCCTGTCTTCATTAGCCTGTCTTTATAGGTAGGACAGAAAAGTAGGACTTGAACCCTATTCATTCTGAAAACCCAAGCAGATAGAGTGATTCTGGTGTGATACATATAGAAAGAGAGAGAGAAATGTGGTTTAACGTCCACTCGACACAAACTAGGTCATTTCGGGACTAACACATGGTTCAATTTTATTTCAATAATACACTTGCGCGTAGGGGTCTTTAGCAATGGGAGGAAACCGGAGGACCCGGAGAAAACCCACGAGGTTGGATAGGCGACCCTACTCCTTGTCACGTACAAGGGGAGAATCAAAACCATGCCAGTTGACTCAATGACAGATCTTCTGATACAGCTCTCACATGCTAATCATTTGGCCATCCCCCCCACCCCCCGGTATATAATGATGTCTTAGACTGCAGTTGTTATAGACAGTTCAATGTAAGTAAGATTACAATGTTGTTTAAAAACAGCACAGAACTGAAACTATAATGTGATGTTAATTTAGATTGCAAGTCCATTTCTTATATATCTAGAATACTTTATCAAGTTTTCTTTAATAGTAGACAGGTACACATAAGTCATATCCTAGCTACTACATGTATTTTCCTACAATTAAATAGATAAATAAATTCAATCCACACCTTATCAATTACCGGTACATGTAGATCCTGTTTAGGGCAGGTAATTTCACACTTCTTCTTAAAGATGCAATATGTATGATTTAGATAAAGAGCTGTCCGCTTTTTGCTATAATAGTTCAAAAATAGATAATGAAAAATGAATATAATTGAACATTTCATTCAAATTACGTCATTTTATGGTTTGATTAGATCTATCGCAAATTGTTTATTATTATATAGAGCTGTCCGTTTTTGCTATAATAGATAATGAAAAATGAATATAATTGAAAATTTCATTCAAATTACTTCATTTTATGGTTTGCTTAGATCTATCGCAAATTGTTTATTATTATAGTATTATTGTTATAGTCTTGGTTATCCATTTTATCGTAAATTTTTAAAATCTTCAAGTGTTCTAATCCTTTGAATCTTGGTTTTTTGATGGTCTAGAGATTTGTTTAAAGGTTTGACATCTAAATAAATGTATAAATAATAGTTTATATATACATTTGAAGCCAAAATATGACCTGAAATATGCAGATCAGCTATTACCTTTAATCAGCTGCCTTTAAGGTTAGATATCATTAAAGATGCTTTCCCAGAAAAGTATTTATCGGGTGGTTATTTCCAATAAAAGTATGTCAAATTTGGTATATATGGAAAGTATAGACAACCAATCTTACTAGAAAAATACTGGATTAGCCAAAAAATGCCCATGGGCAAGCACTGGGCAAAATTGTCAGGGTATCACTAACTGGCAACCCGACTGTTATCTGCCAGCTTATTGTGGGCCAGCTTAAGTGAGGGAGCGGTTATTTCTTGATCAAATGGTTAGGCGATTTTGGGAACATAGTGGGGTGTCAAAGTACAAAAGACTCTGCAAATAAACGGCAGAAAAAGAAGTTGACGGGAACAATTAAGGTTTTACTTAGGCCTCAATATGTATGGTAAATGTACAGTAAGTAATGATAAATACATTCTGAAAAATGGACCCACCCACAATGAAGCTAAATTGACAGACATTGCGTTAACAACAGCTTACTTATAACTGTAGGTATTCCTGGCGAATACACAGTTTTGAGAGGGAATTGGAACAAATTTTTGATAGATTGGTTACTTTGAATATGTTTTTAGTCCAAATATATCATTATATCACAAAGTTTGTACGTGGGAATGTATCTTTAAAAATGCATTATTCAAGAGCTAAATCTGCCTATTGCAGGTATTTCTTTAGGCCTTAAATTAACTTGCCAAGACCATAATCAACTCTCTCTATGCCATCGGATGCTCTTGATTTTCAACACGATTGGTGGTTAATATTTTAATTACAAGATGTATAACAACGGTAGCAATGACAATCGAGACTGCTATTCTCCAAACAGCCCTTACGTTGATCAGAATAAAGTAATTATCAGGATATTCCCTTTTCATTATCTAGTTTTAATCTTACATAATGCATCTTTAATTAGAGGAATACACAGCATAATAGAGAGTAAATGGGTAGTTGCGTTCATTAAAACTTCACAAAAGAATTCATGCAAATTTTTAAGAGGTTTTTGCGACAAGAAATAGTTTTGTAACCAGGAAAAATTCTTAATGGTTGATATTACTATCTATAATAGCAGTTCTGCAAAACTACAATTTTAGATTCAGATGTGTAAAAAGGACTTTGTTTCTAAAGATTAGATATCCCAACATAATTATCTTGAGGTTCTTTAAACCTGATATCCATTTGTATTTTTATATCTTGATATCCTCTATCTTTAAAACCCTAAATTCATACTTTGACATAATCTTTATAAGGTAATGATTATGGCAGGATCTGAATATGTTTATGTTGAGATCTCTAGATCATTGGAACTCAACTTGTTCATGTGTGGATCTTTGAATAAACATGTGGTTTTGAAGCTCATAATATTGATATCTTTGGAACCCAGGATTTTTATGTCTTTGGATATCAAGGTGTCTAAGTCATTGGATCTTAAGGTGTCTAAGTCTTTGGATATCAAGGTGTTGAAGTCTTTGGATATCAAGGTGTTTAAGTCTTGGGATTTTGAGATGTTTAAGTCTTTCTATCTCAAGATGTTTTAGTCTGGCTGATATTTGGATTTATTTAGTTTTATGTCCAGATCTCAAGAAAAGTAGGAAGTTGGATATGTTGATGTCAAGATTTTGTGTGAGAGAGAAATGGAGTTTAACGTCCATTCGGCACAAACCAGATCACTTCAGGACTAACATATGGTTCAATTTTATTTCAATAATTCACTTGCGCACAGGGGTATTTAGCAGTGGGTGGAAACCAGAGGGCCCTGAGAAAACCCATGAGGTTGAAAAGGCGACCCTATTCCTTGTTATGTAAAGCGGGGAGTCTAAACCATGGCACTTGACTCAGTGACAGACCTTGTAATCTAATGTGCTATTTATGTCTGGATCTTGGAAATTTGAGATATGAGATACTCAGGATGATGTTTAAGTTATTCACGCATTAAACCATTCGTCCACCCAACACCACCTCAAGATCTTGTGATGTTTAAGTCTGGAACCAGGAAATTTGAGATACTCAAGAGGATGTTTAAGTTCTTCACCCATTAAACCATTCATCCACTAAGATCTTGTGCTGTTTTAAGTTCTTCACACATTAAACCATTTGTCCACTCAACACCACCTCAAGATCTTGTGCCGTTTTAGTCTGGATCTAGGAAATTTGAGATACTCAACATAATGATTAAGTTCTTCACGCATTAAACCATTCATCCACCCAACCCCACCTCAAGATCTTGTGATGTTTATATCTGGATCTAGGGAATTTGAGATACTCAAGATAATGTTTAAGTTCTTCACTGCATTAAACTATTCGACAACCCAACCCCACCTCAAGATCTTGGTTTATTTTTGTCTGGATCTAGGAAATTTGAGATACTCAAGATAATGTTTAAGTTCCTCACGCATTAAACCATTCGACAACCCAACCCCACCTCAAGATCTTGGTGTTTTTTTGTCTGGATCTAGGAAATATGAGATACTCAAGATAATGTTTAAGAATTAAGAAGTATTGCTTTTCAGTATTTTATTATTATTTTTTTTGTACATTATATAATAATCATATTGCTGTAGTTTAATGACATCAGCAGTATAGTTATTTAAACAGTGGAAGATATAAATAAAAAGATTAAAACATTTGTATTATTAAAACATCTAAAAACACCATTAATTTGGTGCACATTAAAAGATATTGATCTAAAGTAATTTCTTCTTGTATTATATCACCATAACATCTGATGACGCCCAAAAAAGAGCAGACAGCTGGCATATGATTTGATGTATATCCGAATGAAGTAAAAGTATTTGATTTTTTATAACTAGACATATTTTTTATTTATGTATTCATCTACCGTAAACGTAGCCGTACTTGTACTTTATCTACTTTAATATATACCATAAATACATATACACCATCCCTAGTTTTCAGTACCAGTTGATATATCCATCTGTGACTATTTCACAGATAGGCTGTATATAATGTAGAGAAACTTAATTCTTTCTAAATCATAAAATATTAATATTAACCACATTGATGATTGAAATTATCGAAATATTACACATTTTTCATGGGCCATAAACACTATGTATAAATTTATTAAAGTCAATCGGATGATAATTTTAGCCTCTAGTGCGTCCACAAGATTTTTCAAAGTGATCAAGGGCATAACTATTTCACAAATAGGCTGTATATAATGCAGAAAATCTTAATTCTTTCTAAATCATAAAATATTTATAATACCCACACTGATGATTAAAATTATCGAAATATTACACATTTTTCTTAATTTAATATACCATATCCTACGCTTTAATCATCTTTAATAGGTGAACTAATTACAGAAAGTTCTTCTCAGGACTTCCACAGAGCAGGTGCTCTTTTTTCCGCTAACTGCCATCCTACGCTAATCCTGAATTAAGAACATAAGTTACACAAACGAAAAAAAACACAGCACTGGAAAGTACAGCCGTAAGGGACTTTATCCAAATAAAGAGGTAATATAAACGATCAATGCTTTATAAAACTTATACCAGTATTTGGTAAAATGTTAGATAAAATTGTATCTGATGAGAACAGTTTAATCCAATAATACTGCAAAACTAAATCGCATTCCAATGATCCTTGGCACCGTTTGTTTACAAACATCACCATATAAAATAAAATGTTAGCACGCATACTGTCAACTTTATCATCTCTCATCATACTCTATTAATAGAACATTATATATCACTGTTTTAACAGTAATATATTGGCACAGTCTGTAGAATACTCTACATTATAAAGTCTTTGATCTCCTCAACAATTCTTCTACAAAACTCTGAAATAGAACAAAAAAAAAACAAATAACAATTAAGACAGATTCAAAAGAAATTCCAAGCAATGTGAGTGAAAACAGCCATCAATATACTATAAAACATACTTATGGAAGAACCAATACTTAATTCATTATTTGGGCGATGTATTATTGTACATGCTTGAAAACATTGAGAAAATACTCAATTCGCCCAAGTAAATTAAGTAATTATTATTCCATAATTATAAGTATGTCTTATAGTTTATGTTCATTACTCTTAGCCAGTTACTAAATCCCTCTAAAGGATCATTATATATAAGTAGAAATTTAATTTAAAGTCCCAGTTTGTCTGAATGCTGATGAAATATAGAGTTTAAAAAAAACATACGTAACAAAATAATTTTTAATTAAAACACATTTTGATCCAAAACAATAATCAAATCGATCAATTCTAACATGGCCATTTTAAGTTTACATCGGTTTCTATAGATTCCACGACATGTTGACAAATAAAGCAATAATAATTCTGTTGGGTACAAACTTTCCCAGTCTTGCTGAAGGCTTTTCTATTACTCAGATGTGTTTAATGACACTGACAACAGTCTTTACATCAAAATCGTATATAGTTTATTTCTGAGATATATGGGAACAATCTGACTTATTTTGCCTTTAATTTAAATTCATTATAAATACAGACAGATTCAAAGGAAACCTTTCATTAATTACCATGGGAGGAGGGTTAAACTAAAAATCAAATAACATTTGAAGTTCAGTTCATTCAAAATACAGATTCAAAGTAAACCCCCGGGAATGTGAGGGAGGAATGACTGCTGTGGATCGAGGAATTAGTTCTTAATGCATAGAGTTAATCTGGGAGCTTATCTGACATCAATACTGTGAATTGAAACATAAGGCAAAGTTTTTATGTAGAGCATTCAAGATAGATCTTGTTCTAATTTTTTCAAAACTTAGCAAATAAAACGTGGGAGGGAGAGAGGGCCAAAGATTCTGATCAATAGTGAATCTGGCTTAATTTTGATTTAAAGTTGAGTCTATAGCCTTTACCAGTTCAACTGACTCATGACTTTAAAATGGAGAAATTAGGGTGGCAGCTGTCACTGCTTAACTTTTTATAGGTAAAAATTCTTTGGAGTGCACATCTCAAACATGACACCGTATCTTATCAGTGTTATATACGTTATTACTGATTGGTAATATACAGTGAGGACTGCATACTTCATTGTAAGTTGAGTAGTGCAAGTCAGTTTTTCTTGTACTTTTTTTTATTAGAGAGATTGGTAATTTACTCTGGTAATTTACTCTTATTTGTACATCTAGAAATTGTGACCAACATTTAAAGATTTTTCCTAGTTTTGGAATGTGCCATTAAGTCCCCTACAGCTTGACATAGTAGTAGGTAGGCAGAACTTGACTCAATTGCCTGGTGAAAAATCTGTTCCTGTTTACCTAATAACCTCCATTATATAACTTAATAAATTTAAATACTCAAGTGTAAACATACCTGGACTTCATGTTGGGGCATATTACAATCTGTTAATGATTCCTGAAAAAAATAAATATCAATTTATAAATTATGTGAATACAGAAATCTAAATGAATAATACAAGCTGATAATGATGGTTTAGAAGCGTATCTTTAAATGGGCATATTAAAAGACAAGATTTTAAAATAAATTACACGCAATATGTACATGAGATGGTTTATCGTACCATGCAAATGCATAGACAGCTGTCCTTCTCTGGACCTTTGCCCTGCCCAACTGACAATGGGAAACTATGGCAGTAAAAACCTGAGGAACCTACATGTACCTATCTTTTATGCAAATATAAGAAGGATTCAAATACATTTCTAGAGAATAAGTAAAACCTAGTCTACAAAAAAATATTCCCCACAGCAAGCAAAAGACATTATTTTGTCAATTTCATAAAGATATGATCAACATTTATTCTTTAATGCAAATATAATAAGGATTTAGATAGATTTTAAAGGATAAATACAACCAAGTTTATCTACAAATATCCCCCACAACACAAAAAAGACATCATTTGTCAATTTCATCAATATATAAAGAAGATGCACTTTTTATTATGATCATATACCTTTCTTTAATGCAAATATGATAAGGATTTAGGTATGTTCCTAGAGAATAAGTACAGCTGAGCCTATCAAAAAGGATTTAGCTAGATTTGTAGAAAATAAATACAACCTAGTCTATCTACAAATATCCCCCACAATAGGAATAAGATATCATTTTGGGCATATAATAAATATTCGAGGTTATTTATTAGGAGCATCAACATTTATAGTATGTTATTGTATGTATATACAATAGATATATGATGGGTGTAAGGTAGGTGTAACTACTTTGATTGACAATCAGTGGTGAGATGATTAAATCAAGGTGAGCATATAATAAAAGAACTTGACTTGATACTCCTGGGAAAAAATCTTTTTTATGAGCTCAGCTGTACCATTAGTGATCATGCATGTTATTTTATAAAATTCACAACCACAGAAATTAGTCCATGTACTAACATCAATTCATGCGCTTAGATTGCTGCCTGAGCCATACCTTTGGGAAATAAAAATTCAATGGATGGTGATGGCACTCTACATACCATATTTAAAGGGGCTAAATCGCTAATATTTGGGATCTAGAAATTGACACAAATGGTGGTTGGTGCCCAAAAAATGTAGTTAGGTTCTTAGTATGTTACATAATAATAATAAATTCGCTGTTAAATTGGACACATTCAAGAACACAATATCTTTTTTTATACAACTTTTACAAAATACAATTGTGTGCCCAAATTTTCCCAGCATTTGGTGCCCAAAATGGGGGGGGGGGGGGCGCCCTTCCCCCCCCCCCCCCCCCAGCTTGTACGCCTATGGTTGCAAAGCAATTAATAATGTAATATGAATGTATATAAACTGATTTACATTTAATGGTTTCCGTTTTTACTCTAATTTTAAATCAGTTATGTTCGGTGAAATATGCCAGAAGTGTCAATTGAATGGTAGTTTCTAGAGTCTGGTTATTCCAGTCTACACCGATAATATTTATTGTGCATGCTTTCCAGATAAGAATATGAGGTCACCGTTTAACCCGACTTGTGGAATATGTCTAACCTCGTTCTTGGAGTCCCTTATTACAAATGGCACTGAAACGCATATTATGGTACACGATTCGTGTACCAATGGTAAAATGTTTATTTTGTCTTAAATATTGAATATCAGAAGCCCATATTTTCTCGATATGCTAACAACACCAATGCTGATTTAAATTGACAAATAATTCATGTTTTCGATGTCGAAGATTTTGGATGATATTCAGTTAGAGACTTAGCTACTTTAACATAATAATTGCCCAAAGTTAGTAGAAAAAATTATTTAGAATGCGTTGCAAAAATAATCTAGAAATACTGTGCTAGTTTACTGTTCTGGCTCACGAATAAACTTGTTTAGATGAATGTTGTGTACGATATCATAAGAAGGTGAGCGCTTATTATAATTATTACAGTTTTAAGAAAAACCTGGTGGGCGCTAATCACATTCTATACGGTAATTTAATCCACTATTAGTATACTACTCAATACATAGACAAATCTGATGCCTGTCAGATGTTGGACTGTCCTGGTAAAATTAATCTGTTATTATAAGGGTTTATAAAATTAAAAACTTCTGGGAGAACATATGGTGGACACATCTGGTTGAGAAAACTGATTCAGATCTTTCAGCATCTGGTAATATAAATTCTTTCAGTGAACAGTCTGTCAAAAAGATCTAGGATAGGGGCAATTTGACAGAAAACAAAAATAGGCAAACCATTTTCATCTTGAAACCATTTATCCCCTACATTTTACCATAATAAAATAAGCACATGAAATCAGCCACAAAGCTCTTTATATTTTTATTGAGACATAAAAAAACAGTTTCAGAATTTCTGCTGCTTAAAAGCTCCTTCGATTCTTATAGATGGATAATTCCCATAATATTTTATAATAAAAATTGTCACTTACCAAAACATAATTTCTCTTTTCATTATCTGTATCATAATTTAAAACTTCTTCTAAATCGAGAGGACAGCTATGATCTTCTGAATCTGTCTGTAAATAGAAAAAAAAAAAAAAAATTAATAAAATGAAGTTTGAATGATTGACTTTCATAATATCCAACAGGAGATCAATTTTCTCTTAAGAACATACATTCTTTTGGTGAATACCTCCCATTCTTAACCTGGAACTGGTTTCATACATCAGAAATTGGTAATGTTCTTTTGGGGGCAACTTGGGAAGCTGGACAAATCCACAACGATTGACAGACTTTGATTTGTGATACGACATCACAGCCCAAGATGGCTGCAATGACATCATGGTCGGTTTCTGGTTGATATATAGTACTCTCGTAATTGTTATATTGTTGACCCATATATATATTTATATGTGGTTAATGTCAACTCATCCATTTATTTATTTGTTAATTGTTTAACGATGACCTTTTTCAATTTTAAAATCTGTCTTTTTTAGGGCTGTCCAAAAATATTGCTATATCAATATGTTGCAATACGATCGTCTGCGATACACTGTATCGATACATTTTTGCCCTATATTAGCTAGACTGTTTATATAGACTTCATAATCAGTCATATTATAGGCTTTACAGTAATAAAATAGGTGTCCAAGACCAAAGTTGTAAAAACAATAAAACTTTTCAAAATAAAACTGTGCTTTGTGATAAACCCTGACTTCATCGAAGTATTGCAATACTGCAATATATTACAATACTCTTTGTCAAGTATCGCAATACTGTATATTGTAATACGATTTTAGACTGCAATACACAGTCCAAGTCTTTTTATTACTCGATAAAAAGAATTGACAGCATCAAACCTACAGAACAACAGGATGGAAAACAAATTGTCTTCTTTGCAAAATATTGCGTCTCTGTTTTCAACTCATCTAAACAAAAAGACAATTTCCTTTGCCAACAACAGAAAAAGAATAATATGGGAAGAAGTATATAGAGTACAGTTTACTACATTCCAGTTGTAAATATTATGTATGTAGTGATGATGTCTTTACAAGAAAAAAACTAAGTGTGAGAAAATTACCGAATATCAGACTGGTGCCAAAATCAACACTTATTATAACAAGGCTTGACATTGTGGCGCCAAATATTTAATCAACAAGTGACGCTACCTGATAGATAATGACATGACGCCAGATAAAAAAACAACATTCTACTAATAAACTGATGGTAAAATATTAACAATTATAAAACAAGTGACTACATCATAGATGTTAATTATCTCACTAAAACCACAAAATGAAACAACTTTTTATACATAAAAACAAACAAAATCTTGCAGCATAATAAAACATATGGTGTATGATATTTTAAGAATCAGGTCAAACCAGAAAACCGCAATATTATAGTTTTAAGTGCAGATGTTGTCTATTTCTAGTGTATTTTTATATGTACCCATACATTAAGATAAAATCAAGGTCTTTGAGTAAATTTTTACAGACTGTTAATACAATTATATAACAACAATATGGGTACATAGAAATTCAACAGGCTACATATTTATCGTTATTATGATAAACGACATACTGATTAACATTAGTATATTAAAATTATACCCAGTAAGAAATATTAAATAACCTAAAATTGACTGGTAGATTGTGGCACTGCCAACTGTGCAGAGCTGCACTGGGCCCCAAGATTTTAGTCCACCAAACACCACCTCACTAAAAGATATGCTTCAGTTTGCTTTTAGGATTTACACACATAGATTATTGTTCAGCAAAAGACTTCAAGTTTGACCCATAAAGGACTTAAACTTACATTATTGATCCATAAAAGACTTTTAAAATTAAAGTTACATGATTCAGTGTAACAGACTTCAATGTTAACTTCATCAGTGGGTAAGTGCAATTGACCCATAAAGGACTTAAAATTACATTAATGATCCATAAAGGACTTGAATGTTAAATTTATCCTTGAGTAAGATGCAGTCATAAGATTCAATACTTAAAAAATTGGAAATATTTTCTAGCAGATCATACTCAGTCAGAAACTTATTGATATATTTATAAGAATGTGAAAAAAATATGTGAGAATTAACAATCTGTTAACACCTTGAATTATGAAGTCTAAGGATTTGCGTGTCAATCATGTAAAGTTCATGTAAATATGAAAATAAATGTTATTTTTCTTATCACAAGATATAAATCTTAATAAAACTCTGATCAACTGCACGGGAGAAATATTCCTTTCATTTCCAGATATTTCTGTCTCTAACCTTGTTTTTTTTTTACAATGTGGTAGGACGTTATATTTCATCTTTAGACTTATGTTTCCTAGAAATATTACATTATCAACATTACTATTTCAAACATGTGTGATTCGACCTAAATATCGCTGCAAAAAATAAATATTTTCTGGTAGTAAACATTAATTATTAGAAATTAAATAATATTGAGGAATTTCATGAACTATTTAGAAGTTGAAGTTTTGTGTTATGCTAAATTTACAAAATGAAATGAAATAGGGTTTAACGTCCTACTGTTCTGCTCCGAAAGGGCTAATGAAGACGGGCATATGTCATACAGTGTGCTATGAGGGAGATTTTGCCCAGACAGTAGCACTACGGTCTACTCTTATATCTAATTCCAACTGTCAAGGGATCTTTTATGTGCACACCAAAGTGTACACGGGACCATAAATTTACAAAAGCCAACAAATAAATTTAATGAATTCTGTAATAATAAAGGGTTGGTGGTGGGGAGGGGGGCAAGGAAGAAAGAGAGAGAGAGACTTAGTAATCTACTGTAGTCTAACTAACATTTGTGCTTTAGATAATAAGTCTGTCATTGAGTCATGTACATGTAGCATGGTTTAAATCCGGCAATACTATATACCGGAAAACATCCGGAAACACCATTTTATACTGAATACCGGAAAAACACAAAATACCGGAAAACACACAAAATACCGGAAAATACCCTTAATAGGTAACCCGCAGACTTGTACCCTAAATAGGTAACCGGGAGCCTGGTCGTCTGTGTGCCTGGGTTAGGGTTAGTTTCCGGTTTATAGTATAGCCCTTCCCTGGGTTACAAATTTAGGGTGGTTTCCAGTATTTAGTGTGTTTTCCGGTATTTAGTGTTTTTCCAGTGTTTTCCGGTATTCAGTATAACATGGTGTTTTCCGGTAGTTTTCCAGTGTTTTCCAGTTGTTTTCCGGTATATAGTATAGCCCGTTTAAATCCCAAGTTTGTACAGGACAATTTGTAGGGTAGGGTGTATAACCTCATTGATTCTCTCCAGTTTACCTCTGGTTGTCTCTCACTAATAAATACTCCTAATATAAGCACAAGCAAGTTATTGAAATGAAGATATACCACATGTCAACCTCAAAATAACCTAGTTTGTCTTGAGTGGATGTTAAACCCCATCTCCCTTCCTACATGTAACAATACGCATAATGACAAATTACATAACTGGTTGCCAAAAGCTAGGTCACAAAGACACCTGATCATAACATAATATTTAACACATAATGTCCTTGAGACCAAGATTATAAGTTGGTAAATAAATATAACATACAAAACAAAATGGCAAACAATAACAACTCATGTTTGTATGCCAATTTTTTTTTTACAATGTAACATGTATATGTTAGAGGATAAGATTGAAATTAAGAGAGAATGGGACAGGTACTGGTATTTCAAATTTTTCACAATGTTCATACATGTGATATTAATTCCATTGTATATATTTCCAACAATCTGATTAAAAGACAGATCTATATTTCGTTTCGTTTTTTTATACTTTTGATGGCCTACACTACATGAAGATCTGACAAGTTATAGCGATAGGTCACGTCAGGGGTCAAAAGACCGACTTATGACCCTATGATGTCAGACATTTGATTAACCAATCAGCATTGATGTTACTAGTGGAATACCCACAGTTCCGTGAAAAACACGCCTAAAGCTCGCCGTAACAGAACGTTTCATTGGCTTATCCCTGTCACCATTCAGAACACGAGTTAAATAACAACTTTTCCAGATCCAAGTGTAGTAAAGACAAGTAAAACGAAATTTTGAACTATAAAAACAAAACGAAATATGATCTGTATTTTAACCAGATTGATATTTCCAAATTAACGTAAGTCTAAATAATTCCTTTTAAATAATTATGTCTGAAATTTGTTGTTTAAAATTAGTGAATGAAATGGGGTTTAATGTCCTAATTTTCTGCACCCACTGGGCTAATGAAGACAGTTGTTGTTTTGAATGTAATGGGTTAAAAGACTTTAATTAGTTGATCAGTGAATAGCTCTGAGTCTATTACCGTCTTTGTTTACGTCTTGAGCATAAATCAACACTCGACATGCGTTAATTATTTACAAGGGATAAACTAAATCACAAGTACAACAAGAATATATTATTTATACAAAAGGGATATTCCCTCCATGAACATAAATAACAATTTCTTCATTGGCACTGACATGAACATGTATACAGTTTATACTCTAGAGCCAAAATTGGAATCAACATATCTTGGAATTGATGGTAATGGGATTAAGATGAACAAAGTAGAAACTGAAACCTATAAATATCCCAGACGTTTCAAAGAAGAGTGTTTGTCTGCATATTACCCTAGGTGCAATCAGAAATTAAACCCAACATCAAGTCAAGTTGAATTGTTCACTTATTTTAGTTTCATATTTTAGGTTACTGTGAGGGCAGTGGAACACAAAATAGGGTAATATTTTAAAACTGACTTTACCACCATGTGTAGACGTAAACTTTTCAATGAAGACAAGACTTTCATGCCACAAAACAAATGAACATATTATAATTTTTTTTTACCCAAATCAAAGAGGTATAGTCGCTTTAAGATCTGAAGTGGTTCTGTCCATTTAAACACTCATTCCTTGATTTAACTTGTGTAAAAGGCTTTGAGCAGCTATATATTGCTGTGTTTATTCTATACTAAAGTAATAGATCTTTAAGATGTTCTGGAAACTGTGCAGGTAGGGTAATAAATGCTTTAAGAAGATCTGGAAACTATATTGGTAAAGTAAAGGTACAAAT